AAGTATACAGTCACATGTAAGCAGTGTTCTTTGAGTTGCATTGCTTGCTTCACGTGTTCGCTTGTGAATAAAACAATTTAGTTGCTTAGGCGGTGGTTGCAAATGAAGCACGGCTTTCTGTTTTACGTGGGACGCACTTGTGCTAAGCGATACACAATAAAGGGGTGCATTATACAAGCATCGATCTATGACTACTACGAATACTAATGTGAAAAAACGGAACTGCGACTGTTGTGAATTTATCTGAACTAGATGATAAAAACTGTATCCTTCTCAAGTATACAAGCACATGGATGAAAGGATGGGAAATTCCGCTCGATGCTGAAGTCTATTCGGCACCTGCAGCCTTCTCCAGTCTGTGAGAAAGGGATAAGCTGAAAAAGCTACCGGTATTCCTGGGAGTGTAGGATTCTAGAGAAGGATCGAATTCGCGAACAAAACACGTTCTTAAGAGTGGGAACAGTGTCGGTGGGGGTGTCACTATTCTCACCTCTTTCAAACTGGAGACACAAATCCATTTACAAATCAGACGAAACGAATTGTCTCCCTCTCCATCCATATATCTATTAGTGTTTGTGCTCCAATCGGGACTTCCGAGACGCTACGCCATGCTCCCTCAAGGGCTGCATAAATAAGCGTCTGTTCTCCACACTCATCACCACCACTTCGACGTCGACTCAGCCAGTCTGGTTGAGTGGTAGCTCGCTTGCGAGTTTTGCGGCTTTCAACGCTGTGTTTCACTTGTGTTTGACGTGCGTCCTGCGAGATACTGTGGCATTGCGTGATTTGGCGCCTTCGAGCCCTGCAGTCAAACTGCGCTTCCATATCATGGGGAAGCTGAGAAAGGTCCTTTCGCGAAATGTTTTTGGAAGTCACGATGGCTGCAAAAGCTACTTTTGCAATGGAAGCAAGGCAGATAACGTGTATCAAGCAGTTCCTAAAATACAACAAGTGAAGCTGATGTCTGCAGCCAACATGATTGCGGACAAAGCAGACCGTCTCATCACAGATGACACGAGCAATCTTGCTGAAGCCATTATGTCCCTTGTGGCTAAATTTTCTGGAGGAAAGCAGATAAATCGTTGCCAGAAGGGCTCCTATGAGCATCGCTGTCAAGGTGCGGGGCTTCATTTTCAACTGGGACCTGAATGGCACGTGAAAGCAAGCAAGGCTGTCACTTGCACAAGCCCAGCTGCAACCCTAAAGAAATACACGCAGAGGAGATTCGAAATGAAAAGGCAGACGATGAAAAGGCAAAAGGCGGCTATTTGAGGAGAGCGGCCACCGTGAGCGCAGATACGGCAATCACGCAGCCAGCAATTCGGCACCCCATTATGGACCAAGTTGTCAAAAGCCAGAATGTCGGCTGCCGTATTGTCTGCGAACACAGAAAGGCAGCTGCAGGACCTACAGGTGGATGACAGCAAGCGAGCAAGCATTGAAGAAGAGACGCGTGGGCAAGCCAGCAGTCCCGAATGGCACGAGCAAAGAAGGCTCCGCCTCACCGCCTCCAATTTTTATGCTGTCTGCACAAGGAAAGACAGCACTCCTTGTGATGCGCTGGTGAAGCGGCTTCTTCAACCCAAAGGCTTCACAACCGCCGCAACAGAGCACGGGAAGCAACACGAAAGTGTTGCACTCCAACTGTATGCAACAGAAAAAGAAACGGTTGTTCAGTCATGTGGGCTTTTTATTGACCTGAAACACGGGTTTTTGGCAGCTACCCCGGATGGGCTGGTTGGAACAGACCGAATTGTGGAAGTCAAATGCCCGTTGAAGTACAAGGAACATGAACCACTGGAAGCAGCAAGAAACTTCTCGGAGAAAAAACAAAGAGATGGCGCTCCGGTTCTCTCTAGGTCGCACAGCTATTTTATCAAGTGCAGGGCCAGCTGCACATCACCGGGCGGATTATCTGTGACTTTGTAGTGTACACAACAAAAGGTATACACGTGCAGGAAATACGCAGGGATGATGCTTTCTGGAGAGCGAAAATGGAACCATTTCTTTTGCGCTTCTACAAAGACTGCATCCTTCCAGAGATTGTAGACTCCAGACTTGCTCGGTCCATGGACGTGCGCCGTCCGGAGTGGAACAGACTTGCCATTGAGGCTAAGGAGAAAACGAAGAATGGAGAAGCACCGAAGGCCAAAAGAGCCAAGTACAAGAAGGACTAAATATGCCTGTAAGTAACTGAGCTTGCAACGGTATAAAGCGGAATATAAGCGGTGATCTTCCCTTCGCGCCTTGTCAAAATATGAGTGGTAACTATCTTTCCGTGTCGCTGCGTTTCCTTGTGTCAGCTATTCCGAGTGTGATTTGTTTGGGATCAACTTGCTGTGATAGCATTGAAACAAATTCACTTTCTAGACCAGCCTAACTCGTCGCTGTTCATAGCACGGAGCAATTTGTATTGATGCCCGAGAAACACCATTCCTAAAGACATTTTTTTTACGTTTTATCTGAGCTCCTGAAAAAGTAGCTCTCTCTGCGCCTGTCATGTTGTAATTTATTTGAAGCATATTGTGAGAAATGTCGCAGAACTGATGGTACAACCACTGCACTATATTTATGCAGTGATTCTAACAACATCGAAATAAAAGCCCATTCTAGAAAAAAGCATTATTTCAGCAGTTCGTATCATGTTTGTGTGTTTACAGGGAATAGGAGCAGCGGACGCCAACGCAAGACACTCGTGCCCGGTGTTACAACCGTGCATGGCAGTGTGCCGTTTCCTAAGACGGCGAAAAAGGAGGCGGCGATATCCACCACCTCTAGCAGAAGCAAGAAAGCCAGAAAAAAAAAAAAAACGGTCCTTGTCAGGACCAATCTTCTCGATGCTTCGGTGGAGATTTCGCACTGAATGCGTTCTTCGTTCAACTGCCGTCTCTCTCTGTGTTCTGTTTTATTTATCTCTTTCTTTACGTTGCTGCTATCTAGACAGCTGAAAATAATGTACATTGCCCAATGTTGCCCGACTTTGCCATTAGCAGCCAACCTGCGGGATGAAATTATAATTTTAGTACAAGAACAATCGCTTCCGTGTGCCTTATTGGACAGCCTCTTGGAAAAGCTTAGCTAGTTTTCGGGTGTCGACTCTAGGTCTATACAGATAGGTTGGGTTTCGCTGAGAAGGAGCCCTTACGCATTTTATTATTCAATACTCTCAAAAGGACGCAATTCGCATCTGTGTTACGACAGATGCGAATTGCGCTCTTCGGTGCGGTGCTAGGAGGACTCGTTTTATAGATGAAAAAATTGTCTCTCATATGTTTCGCTAAAGCTGAGCAGCGCATTCGTGTATACGCCTTGTGCACCGCCTATAGAGGCGCCACTGATAGCCACCTGCGCCCCATACATCTGTTTACAGCTGCGCCCCATACATCTGTTTTGGGATGCATGAGGCTCATAGTGTTCTCTCTAGCAAAAAGGCAAAGCCCTTCTGTCCTTCATGCATACAAAATCACCATTTTTGGCTCACTGCAAGGCACAGAAAAGGGGCTTTGTGTAATGATAGCCAGGAAGTAGTGGAAAGGAGCTTCCTGGGTAGCTTCTGAATGTATCCACATAAGTATCAAGTGGACACCCACACTACATTCACAGTCGAACCAAAGGGAACTCTTTTTCTTTCTACTCTTTTTTAGCGAGAGAAAGAGTCTTTCTGGGTTCAGAAACCAAACCATTATTTCCAGCAACCCTTGCTGCAGAGCGGTCTATTGTAAATAGTTATACCTTACCAGGAGAGAGAGAGGCACCTCTTTTCTGGACAGTTGCAGGGGAGTACAAAGGCTCTCGGGTGGGTGCCTTTTTTTGTTGCTGTTGTTATTGGGGAGCAGGGGGGGGGGAGGGCGTCAAGCACATTTGAAACGTTTCAAAGGAGATATGGGAGCAGCTGCACCCCCGAAAAGAATGGATTAGTTCCAGCAGGAACAGGCTCTTTGCCACTGCATGCTATGACTGCGGAGAGTGCATTTTCCTCCCTTTTTTCCAAACGTGACTTAGTGGCGTCTTCTGGTGGCTCAAGCAGAAACTACTCGCAAGATGGCGACGGTGGTACCGTCACCTTAAGGGACAATTTAAGTGCCGAAGTGTCCGAATTTACTTGACAAATCTTTCCCTGTTGTGGGACCCGAACCATACAATAAAAGAATATCTCAAACCCAAGGTTCGCCGCATAACCCATAAGCCACAGACACCTAACAACAAGCAAAAATATTTATCACTGAGTCACTAAAATGCTGCATTCCCACAATATTAAAAAAAAATGCTGCATTCCCACAAATAAATAAAATAAATAAATAAAAAATATTGAATATTGCTCATCTTCGGGATGACGCCTGGGGCACTTTACACAATGTGCTTCGCAGCTCCCACACCAAAATGGTACTGGCGAGCCGGGGGTATAACAACAATACACAGCGCTGTCAGCAAGTGCACAAACCTATCTTATTGCTGTGCATATACGGCCGGATCAAGGCTAACTGCTTCTGTAGATAGCACTAAGCAAACTCTCAAGCAGTTGAACTTGGACTGACAGAACAGGACAAACCACGCTTTGAGAATGAACACTGCATAGGTGCACATGCTAGCCTCAGATGGCTAGCAGGTGATGCAAGGAGCAATCCACACTAGGCATGCTTTAGCCAGTGGCCATCAGGTGGCAACTACGCTCGAACTCGAGGTGAATACAATAAGCAAAGTATTGCCGATGACAGTGCTTCATACCCAGAAAGATGATGACATTGGTGCATGTCAGCAAACGACTTCTGGAGCAACACTTCATGTATGTACCCGAGTTTTGGACAAGGTGATTGTGCTTAGTTATAGTGTTGAGGTCACTGCTCTGAAACACGCACATGTGAAACATGTGCTGCCGACCATCTCTTTCAGAGGGTGAATATAAAATTTTCTAATTGGTCTATTTTCTATCTGGACTTCTATAGTCCAGATATAGTGAAAAGTTGGATATAAGTCAAGTAATTGAAGTAAAATGCACTTACCCTTCAGGTATTCCTCCATGCCCTGGAGCTTAGCAACCGAGGAAGATAAGGCTGCATTGTGCTGTGCACGCTCTTCAATTATTTTCTTTTCCACCTCCAGGCCAAACATGCGGTTTAGCTCCTGCCTTTGCTCTTCCAGGGCCTCCTTGAGATGTTCTGTGTGTGCCGCCACTTGGCGACGCAGCTGCTGCTGCAGTTCGTGCTCAAAAGCTTCCTGCTGCTTCACCAGCTGCACCAAACAAAGAAAAGGTGCAAGTACAGCAAAACATCTTTACAAGAGAAATGAGGTCATAAGACATTTGAAAATGGTTTGGTTTCCTATATTCGCCATGCAAACAGCATTTCATACAAGAGCAACAGCTACAAAAACACTTCGTTCTCGGGGAAAATGTTCTGGGTTCCCTAAAAAAATATTTAGAAAAGAGACAACCTAGGCATGCTTATGCAATGCAGCTGACATTGTAGCAGAAGCCAGCATGCATTTCTATGAAAAAGAAACCCCTTGGCTCGATTCTGTGCCTATCCACAGCCAGATGTCATTCCTCGTACTGTGGCACACACAAACTGCACTAAGTTTGCTGTCATTACGCTTTTATTATTGCTGTTGTGCTCTCACACCAACTACAAGACAAGATTATCAGTGAGTTGGATTTTCAGCACAGCATTTGCTTCGCTAATCATTTTGTATGCTAGTGATATAGCAGGTCTCTGGAGACACCACTAATTTCCATGAGACCGCTGTGCTTTAATTGTCAAGAGTGCCACAGGCCTGTTTATATTGCCGAGAATCCTTGTCATATTGGGACTTCGTTGTTGGCACAGCATGAAGTGAATTAGCCACACTCTGCATTACAGTTCTTATTATTCCTGGTTTCAAAAAGATTTTGGGTGCAAGAGACGCGTTTCCCAGGTCGCTTGCGTGTGTCTTGTAAAGGTTTTAAAAAATGTTTCGTTAATCTCTAGCCTAGGACAATGAAAGCTTCGCTATATAAAGGCTTTTATACGGATTTCAAATATGTAATTACTTTTATAGTAAGTTGCACAGTTTTCGTTTTGTGCCGTGATAGTGTGTATAGTTCATTTTGGACAAAACTTTTATGCCACAAAACTTTTATAGTTATGAGCAATTAATGGCTCATATTGCTCTTTATTAACCGCAGAAGGCAAATAACTATCAATAACGCATGCATAAGGCATTTTAATGGAGAATAACAACTGTAATGTGAGAATTCCTAAAACCCTCAGCCCATACTAATTTCTCACTTTAAGTTCGTAATATTTATACAAGCGACATCAAATTTTAAAGGAGATACTTGCAGCTGTCATGTGTTAAGGAATATTTGGGCAAAATTTCATCCTGATCTGGCTATCAGAAGTACCAAAAACATGATGTCTAAACTCAAGAAGTTGCCCACAAATGGATTTTGAGAAAAATGAATTCTCAAAGTACAAGTCCAAGCTCACCTATGTGGCAAATTTTTTTTTTAATGATTCCCTCTATCAAGAGAGGTTGGCAATGATTGTTATTTTGAGCATATGGCTCAAACTCCTTATACAAAATGCAATGGCAAGCAGCCAGGTGATAATTTCCAGAGGACTCTAGACAATGAGCACTCTGGTTTTTACAGCCACCTTCTGCTCTTTAGAAGCGATTTTAACCTACTTTAAATTTAATTACAGTCTTCCACCTTTTTGTAGCAAAAAGTAGAGAAATAGAAATCTTGAAAGCAAATAAAAATGAAAAGTATGTTTTTAGAAAAAAAAAAAAAAAGCTTCCGCTTTTTGACTCTCGCCTCCCCTTAGCTGTACCTACAGTATTCACTAGGCTTGTGCAAATATTCGAATGAATATTAGAGTATTCAAATTCACTTGGATTCGAATTTAATTTACAATAAATCTTGAAGTATTACAAATGAATGAATAGATGATTATTAGTCTGCATGTAACCACCTGTATAGGTGAAGGAAAGAAGGGAAAATTTAAGCGCTTGTATTCTTTGTCAGAGACAGTATTAACAAGAACTAGTCATTATAAATACACACAGTTGAATCCCTCTATAACATAGTTCTCTGCAACGAATAATTTTCGATTCCCTGTCAGCCGCCCATAGAAAACAATGAAAAATGTCTCGTCACAACAAATACTTTTCCTAATATTTTCGCTATAGGGAAGTTTTCGCAAGTACTATTTCATAACAAAAAGAAACTTGCGGGCAAGGTTCTGTTTGATGTCTCATGAGACTGCCACCAGATTTGGCAGAGAAATTTGCCCGTGTAGTTGTGGCTTCTTCATAAGGGTTTGGTGTCGTCCATGGTGAATTTCGCGAGTGCGTGAACTACCTTGGCAGTTCGTATTAACGGAATGAACGTAAACCGTGCGTTGCAGAAGTCAGGCCGCGATCTCTTGCTGTGCAAGTGTCAACAGCTCATCGGGCAGGGTCCTATTTACAGGTACGCATGAGTCGCGCTTAATTCAGTTTAACTACGGCGATAAAGCAGCCTTCCAGGCGTATATAGCTGTAGCATATATAGCGGTAGCACATACCCCAATTTTCCAGCCTTGGCATGTTTATTCTTCATATGTACACGAGTTCGAACGATATGTCCAGTGCTGTCACAGCTAGGGGAGGCGTAGTGTCCCCGTCGTGGCGCGTGGTCGACGCGGCATGATCAGCTGTGAAAAAAAAAGGGGGGGGGGGGGGGGGGCAGCACACCGCCTGCTGCGACTATTCAGTTTCCCTGTCGTCCCTAAAACTGAGACGCGATCTCTTAATCGCACAGCTGCCCACACAGCAAGAGAACGCGCCCCGACTTCTGCAACGCGCGTTTTACGTTCATTTCTTTAATTAAAACGGCCAACGTAGCTCACGCACTTGCGAAATGCATCGCGGACGACACCGAAGCCTCACGGAGAAGCCGCAACTACAGGGGCGAATTTCTCCGGCAAATTTGGCAACCCCCCCCCCCCCCCCCGAAGTCTGGCAACTGGGGTATGAGACGCTAAACCAACGGCATTGGCCAAGGAACCTTGCCCACCCCAAAGTCTGGCAACTGAGGTATGAGACGCTAAACCAACGGCATTGGCCAAAGAACCTTGCCCACCCTAAAGTCTGGCAACCGGGGTATGAGACGCCATACAGAACCTTGCCAACTTGCCTAGGGTTGCAGCGAAATTCCGCTACCAACTCTACCATTCCTAGATGGCTCGTGACATCCTGAGAGCACGGCCACGTCGTAACATCCATGTTGTGGTGACCTCACTACTCACCGTAGCAGATGATCCCCGCGGGTTTAGGCTTAGCGAGCCGCATCTCCGTCACCTACTCACGTGTAGCACACCGCTCCGCGCGCGCTCAACTAACAAAGCGTTTAGCGCATAAAAAGAGACACTGTTCGATTAACAGCAATACACAAACACTACTGCCTTTGGCGGCACCCCGAACAACAGTACAACGTCCGCTCCCGGGACGCGGGGAGCAAAGGCTCCCGCACGCAGATGTTCACGATAAGGGGAAACCGCGAGCACATCGCAGCGGGCAATGACGAGCCGCGAGGGACCTTTGCCCGACACGCCGGTCGGGAAAAGGTCACTCGCGGCTATGCTGCGCACCCTCACAATGGCCACAGGACCTGGTCGCGAGAGTTAGGGCAAACCCCGTACGCGTAGGCCTACGGCAAGTGCGGCTTGGCGTGGTGCGACCACTTCAAGCACTAGGCACCGCTGTTGGCTTAGCGCACCATACCGAAGCTAACACTCAGGTAAACACACCCACTGGGGATGCCTAGGCGCCCAGGCAGGCTACAGTTTGGCAATTCCCAAAGGGGTCGCGAACAAAGGAAAATCACTTGCTTACCGGGCGCTGCCCACCGGAGGAGAGAGCCTTTCCGGTGCGCACGTGACTCGGCCTCGCCGATTCTCGCAGCCCCCGAGAACACGCGCCGTTACCAGAGCACGAAGAAGGAAAAGGAGAGCGGCCGTACGGCGGAATGCCCGCGAAATGGTCGCGAGCACGCCTTAGATCCCCACAATGTCTTAATTGAAAGCGTGCTTTCTGCCACCACACACACATCGCGATTGAGATGCTCGGCAACAGCTCACCCATTCACCATGATGCTGCCGCCCCGCCACGGTGGTCTAGTGGCTAAGGTACTCGGCTGCTGACCCGCAGGTCACGGGATCGAATCCCGGCGCGGCGGCTGCATTTCCCATGGAAATGTAAATGTTGTAGGCCCGTGTGCTCAGATTTGGGTGCACGTTAAAAACCCCGAGTGGTCGCAATTTCCGGAGCCCTCCCCTACGGCGTCTCTCAGTCATATGGTGGCTTTGGCACGTTAAACCCCACAAATCAATCAATCAACCATGATGCTGCCGGTGGATTTGATGTACCGGGGGGGGGGGGGGGGGGGTCAAAAGCTTCCAGGCCACTATTCTAAGTATTTCTATGGAAACGTGGCATGGGCAGTTTTTGACAAATACTGCACGTGCGGACCAGGCAGAATCGCGTTCAGAACCCTCACCATATCTGGCCATCGTGTTCAAAACAAAACAAACCAATTGCTGCGAACACAAATGCGGTCGTCTCAAACACGATCACGGGCGACAACGAAAGTACGCACGCAGTCAACGCGCACCGACTCAACCCAATATTTCTCGCCGTCTGTTTATCGCAGCCACTGCGCAAACGGCACGACTGCAAGAAACCGCAGTCGCTATCATCTTGTTCATTGATAGAGAATACGATGCGAAGGTGCGTAGCTAACACAGCTGTAGATTAAGGGTAATAAAGCCATAAAATAACACTATACGTTACAGCTTTCCTGTCGTTCTCTAATGGCCACGGTAGTTCAGAACTTAGTCACTTTCAGTTGCAGTTATTAGTTGGCCCCTAACGAAGCTACAGTATACTGGAAGGGCACAGTGGAATGAACGAGCCGGCCGCGCCGCATCTCGGCTGATTCTGCGGCGGGTGACAGTAGCGGTGGCGCTGTAGTCCCATGGTACTGAAGATATCCGGTGCGTCTGCATTGTGGGCGTGCGCGCCGTAGCCCACGAAAGCGTGTAATTGCTCGTTTTTAGCGCTTTTAATGCGTTTCTAAGCCTTTATGAGTGTATGCACACCAGTTAAGCGCCACGGTGCACGAGTGAATATGCAGGCACGCCGAAATTGCGTCGAGACATTCACTGTTGCAAGAGCCTGTCTGCCGACCCACACACACACACACAAACGTC